TCTGTATTGTATGTGTCTATAGTATCCATTGTTAGCAAGTTTAGTTCATTTCTTCAAAAGTGGTTGTTGACCAGCTAGGGTCAGTGGCTGTGTACCTTCCATGGGTTTTTGAATCGTTTCTTTCACCAAGTTTTGTTGCAGGTTATAGTCAGAAGTGATCTCTTTTCAGACACTCGTCTAAACTTACCGGTCTTTAAACTTAAAACCAGTAGTTTTATGAGGGTAAAATTATAGCCTCTTGTGTCAGAGTCAGTAGTGAAGCACATTTTGCAGTGCTTTACCTTCAAACAATGGCAACAAATTTATTCTGATCCATGAAAGGGATAGGACTGAAATTTTTCCCTACTTCTTCCGTTGCATTTTGCCTCATAAACCTTGTCCTTGTAACTTTTCTTTATTGAGAGCTCAGCTTCCTGAGGGTAGCAAGCGTCAATTCTGCACCACTTAAACCTCCCACACAAATGCGCCATTTCAGTCTTTGTTATGACTCAATTTCTTGGCCTCCACCAGGCCTTCTTAAGGGGTTATGGATGCTAAAATTCAACAAAATTAAGCAGATCTATAGTGAGTTGGCAGTGAGGGTAATATTGGCTTAAAGGATTTAAAGTCAAACTCCCTCAGCAAAAAATTCTCCCTAGTTGCCTAGTTTTTTCGATTTTTCAGCCACTGTATTTAGTCGGGTGCAAACTATAATTTCTTGTAGAGAAAATTGCCTGGTTTAAACAATCTGACTGTTGTTAGTGTCACTTGAACCTGTAAGTTATAAAATTTTCGTAGTACAAATTTAAAGTGTTACAGTGATGTTGCACCTTAAATAGTCACATCGGGTTCTAGTTTGTCTTGGTGGAGGCTGTTCTTACTTGAAAAGTCGACCTCAGACGAGTCTGTTGTTGTTCTGCTAGACTAGGCAGGAATTCGCAAATGGACTTTCAAACGGCCTTTGTCTTTTTGCAACCTCTGTGTTTGTAGACTTGCCCCCAGTGTTTTCTTTGCTCTCGAACTTGTAGTTTTAAATAAACATCTGACAGACCAAGATTTTGAAGGTTTATTGAAGGAGGCAGACTTCAATAGTTTTCACAGAAATTTAAAGACTTTTGCCTGGCAGTACGTCTTCTAAAAATCTTTGATCTTGATCATTTTTTAACACAAGACAAACCAAGCCTTTGTGTCTTGAAGTTTTAGAGATTTAATTGCATACTCTAAAGAAAGGCTGATTGCAGATGGCAATATGACATCAGCCCTACTCATTTCAGGGTGGATTCAAGCTTGTCATTGAAGGATTTCAAGTTTTTGTAATCATCATTGAGAGAACAAGTCTTCAGTTCTGAACTTGGGTTTGAATGTTCTGATAAATTACCCATAACTCCACCACATTACAATTAAGAAAATTTCAATGATTTTTCAATCCTGCATATTGAAGATAAAGTTACATGTACAACTAGTTTTACCTTTCTTAAGTCAAGGTCATTTCGAAGTAGGTCTCATTATCAGCCCATGACATTTGGAAGGTTAACTGTTAAGTAGTAGTTCAGACGACACCTGGCTCTAATTGTGTCTGTCTGGCCCTTTGTTCAGTCAGGAGCCCCCCTGGTTCACTGGGTGTCAGGCTCCTGAACTGTCAGCTCGCCTGTTAAGGCTTCCTTAAGCACATGGAGGCTTAGACTAGGTCTTACAAATTGGACTTTATGGATAACACTCAGAAGAACCAGACTTTTACGAGTTCAGGCCCTTGGCTGAGGGTTTAACAATGGCATATACTTGTCTCACTTATGAGAAAGAGTACTATTAAATTTTGACATAGCTTAAGCCTAGTGCAGTAGTGCTTGCACAACTGTGTGGCACAAGGGCTATAGGCTAAATCAGAGATGGGCACTGCCCTATACACTGGAGCTTTAAAGCGTGGGTAGATCTTGGTCTGATAAAGATTTATGTCTTGGCCTCCGAATCTCTGTAGTATCATCTGAAATTGCCAAATTCTGAATTTTTTCTTCCGCTTCTTGTGTTTTATACTCTAAATCATAAACTTGGCAATGAAAGACTAGCAACTGTAGAACATTAGTTACACTTCACAACATCTTGATGCCAGGTTGGAGATCACTATCTTCCCAAAGTAGTAAAACATGCCTGAATGTCTGCAGAAGAAATAGGTCAAAGTCAATGTGCCTGTCTCTGTCGTCTATCATAATCATAAAACAGTGATTAGTGGGGCCTGATTATGACCTCCCCTCCCCTCTCCTGTGCTTCACGGCTTTACTGGGCAGAGTCAAGTGGAGGGAGTCACGCAAGCCTCACACAAAACTTTACTCTGTGCCCAGTACAGAATGTGTCCAGATAAGGCTACAGATTCTTAGCCAATCAGAGTGCGCTACGCGCCATGACGTCATTTTCCCGCGGACGGCCTGCCTCCACTGTGTGTGCCAATTTTCTAATTCCTGTTCCTAGAACTACGAGTTTGATTGAAATCACTTGATTCTCGGATGAAACAACAGTCATAGCTGAAAGAAAGTTTGACAGATGTCGAGATGTTGGCTTTTTTAATCACATTTCATGGTAAAGCTTCACTTCCTAAGTCTCCGAATGCATATTTTCCTTGTTCCCATTTTCCTTTGAATGGGTCTCTCCCAAAGCTTTGCAAAGATTCTCACTGACACCTTGGAAGTTACAAATGGTAGAAAACAGAGAAAGAAGCATTTCCTGGCTCTACTGGGCAGAGTCAAGTGGAGGGAGTCACGCAAGTCTTCCACAAAACTTTGGTCTGTGCCAATTTCCTTCCTGTACTTAGGATTCTGGAGTTAGTTGCTTCCTGGTGACATTCTAAAGAATGGTAGTTTACTAGTCAGATGTTTTGGCATGTCAGTTCTCGGTACTGATTTTATCGCGGTTTGCCTATTATTGTACTTATCTAAATACCAAGGAAAAAGATATACCAATGGATAAAAAGAATATATTTAGCTTCCCAAAAAGCCCACACAGCAAGGTCAAGTTCACATGAAATTACCTCCTTGATTTTCAAATGAAGTTATAATCCAGACTTCACGAATGTTTCTTTGAAGCTAGTGATGAGCTTCTATCTCTCTCTGTATGCATTTTCTGAAGTGTTTATTCCTCTTTCTGTTTAAACCGATCTCTTGGGCAGCTCAGCACTCAAAGGTTCTCAGACCAACTCAGATTCCTTGGAAACAACAAAACAGTACAAAACATAGACACCAGCTTTCCCATACCTGTCCCACCCATAACTACATCACCACAAATAAGAAAACATCTCCTAGAGACCATTGACATTAGAGGAGGGCCTTCATGGGGGGGTAGTGATTACGAATTACGCAAAATTTTTGCTGCCGATTGCGAGTTTTTACATTAAATTCTCAGAGCTGATTATGACTCAATGCTTTGCCGCTAATGTACTGATTATGAATTACATTAATTTTTCGGGAGGCTGCCTACGGATTACGAAGACTAAAAAGGCCTGATTACGCCTTACGAAAAAGGGCATGCAGGCCCTCTTATATAGCTTTCCCTGAACCCAATCAAATTCGGATCAGGCCGGAGTTTGCAGAACCTGCATGGGAACACACAAACAGACAAAACTTCCTGCAGACAAGCTCCCGCTCTGACCCCAATAAATTTCGGATTAGCTGGGAGGCACCACCTGTTCAGCATCATCCTGGTTTTCACCAGTATTTAGCGGCGAGTTGTTGATCCTATGGGATTGTGTATCTGGGAGTATTGACAGCACCTTGGGGAGGATTCTAACCCCCAGGATGACAGATGGACTACAGGGTCAACGGCACAAGGGAAGCTTTGTCTGTTACGGCCATTGCTCGAAATGCTTCTTTTTGTTACCTCAGAAATAGCAGGGCTTTTATGCTAAGCCTGGCAATTTTGGTGAAATTGCCTTCGAAAGCACAAAATTACACTAAAATTGGAGGACGTGAACTTAGGAGATATTGGAGTGACTATGAAAATTGAAGGAGCTTTGTTTAACAAAACATCTCTTTACCCAGTTTAGCAGTGATTTGTATACAATGCAGATGCCTTAATCATTTGAAAGTGGGAGAGTTGACATGCATGAATACACTGTGTCTCATGTACATATAGGTTATGATAAACCAATGCTAGGCATGCCACTGAGACACAACCAATTTCCGATTTCTTGTGTTGTTGCCCACTGCTGCTAATAGATGTTTACTACTTGTATTAAAACTTGAAGGGAAAAAGCATTCCAAGGCGAAGCTAATTATTTGGCACAGACAATTGTGTCCCCTACTTTGCCAAGTATTTGATAAATGTGGGAAGTAAATGTTGTTGCTAAATGTTGTTGTCCACAGTTGCCAATGATAGATCTTTATCTAGACATGCATTCCACTCGTATTAAAACTTGAAGAGGCATTCAAAGCTACAATATGTGGTGTTCCCTATACTCCCCAAGTATTTGATAAACGTGGGAATTAAATGTTGCTGTTCAATGTTGTTGTCCACTTATATTAAAAGTTGAAGTGAAGAGGCATTCCAAGCTAAATATTTGGCACGAGCATTGATGTCCCCTAATTTGCCAAGTATTTGAGAAACATGGGAAGTAAAAAGTGTTTTTGCGCAATGTTGTTGTCCTCAGTTGCCCATAGATTTCAATCTACACAGTCATGCATAATCCATTTAGGGAAAAGGCATTTCAAGCTACAAATTAGTTAGCCTCTACCAGGCTTCAGGAGGTGGCTAGAAAGAGTAGAAATTGGCCAAATGGAGAGATAACATGCCAGGGGAGTTTTTCTGCTGGAGAGAACAGTTTGCTGCTCCCGCTTCAGGTGTGGCAAAATGTTCTTTCCCAGCAGAAAAACTCTTCTGGCATGTTATCTCTCTAAGTGGCCGATTTCTAATCTTTCCAGCCACCTCCTGAAGTCTGGTAGAGGCTACAAATTAGTCACAAACAATATGGTGCTCCCTACGTATTTGACAGACGTGTGAAGTAAAATGTTGTTGTTTGATGTTGTTTTCCCCCACAGCTGCCAACAGGTGTTCGTTCAGTAACGGAGGCTGCCAGCAGCTCTGCGTGCCGAACGGGTACGGGCGCCACTACTGCAGCTGTCAGAATGGGTACACTCTGCAGCGCGACGGGTCCACGTGTGAACGTAAGGGCTGTTTGTTAGTTTGTTTGTTGAAACCAAGGAGGTTAAAAAATTGGACCTCACCCATACATCAAGACCCATCACCTACACATGTCAGGCAATCATCCCCACATTTACACCAAACACCCTCAACACAGGTAAACCATCAGTTATCCTGTCTACAATCCTACAATTTCCATCCGAAAGCCCGGACACCTCAACCTTCTGGCCTAGAAAAAAAAGTTGTGTTTCCTGTTTCCTGACTGATCCTAGAAAAAAACTGCCAACCCAAGGAGGTTTTTTTAACTTCCTTGTTGAAACTCATCATGTAATTTGCATAGCACTATGGCAGAATGTCTCGTTGAAGGTCGTATTCGTGTATTTAAGAATGACATGCTGCCTGTAGTTTTTAGATGTTGTGTCGAAGATATTTATCTTCAACGAGCAATATTCTGGTGCAACGTTGACCAAACATCAAACGAAAACTGAAAAAAATCTAATTTTGTGCCTAGAAGACTGACGTATGCATGACTCTCTCTCCCTCTCTGTCTCTTTCTCTCTCTCTCTCTCTCTTTCTCTCTAATGATCCTAATGGGATTGTTTGAACAACAAATATACATATCCTGGATAACTGAGTTACACTTACAGTTTCACACTCGTATTTTCACATCAACATCAGCTGACAAAAATGTGACAATTACAGATATCAGCAAAACCTCACATCCCTTTGCCCGTGGCAAACCTTTTCTTGGAACTCAGGCTTTCGCTTGCTCGCAACTTTCCCAACCTTGGACGGTCACAAAACTTGTCACTTCCCAACGTGGACAAGATTAAACTTCGATAAACCTGGGTGGGCACTTGCAGCAAAGCCAAGTGGAACCAGTCTTTTATATGCCAACAGCTAGAAGTCATTTGTTCTTTGGCCTTACACCAATACGACAAGCCAAGTCAGTGCCATTTTTATAAGACAAAAACCTTTCCCGGTATAGGAATTTTCCGGGTGAAAAATTGCACTGTTAGATTCTGGCGAAAATTTCTGTTTTCTATAAGCGAACAGCTAGACTTAGTTATTTGTGCTTTGGCTTCACACCAATAAGACAAGCCAAGTCAATTCCATTTCGATAAGACAAAAACCTTTCAGAGTTCAGGAATTTTCCACATGAAAAATTTCCCTGACACTGTTAAATTCTGGCAAAGAAAGTTCTGTTTTTCATTTGTACTTTGGCTTTACACCAATAAGACAAGCCAAGTCAGTGCCATTTTTATAAGACAAAAACCTTTCCCAGTGTAGGAATTTTCCGGATGAAAAATTTTGCTGTAAGATTCTGGCAAAGAAATTTCTGTTTTCTATAAGCCAACAGCTAGAACTCATTTGTGCTTTGGCTTTACACCAAAAAGACAAGCCAAGTCAATGCCATTTTTATGAGACAAAAACCTTTCCCAGTTTAGGAATTTCCCGGGTGAAAAATTGCGCTGCTTGATTTTGGCAAAGAAGATTTCCTGGCTACTAGCAGCACTGCTATGTCTGTCAGTAAGCCAAGATCTGACCAGTAGATAGCAGAAGTGCAGTGCTTACACTTGTCACTTGGCAGGAAGTCTGCTTTGTAGTTTCCTTCATTTATGGGTCTAGACTACATATTTGGTCGATGTAGTAGTAACACTGGTGTGCCTGATGAAGTCACCAGCCATTTTTGGTTATACTTGTCATTGGTTGTTTACTGAAGTTTTCCAGGTGGGAAGTCTGCTGTCACAATGACAGTCTTGCAAGGCTATCACAAAGTTTGTAAAATTTACTTTGGCTTGTAATGAAAAATCATCTTTTAAAACNCTTTTTTACAGTAAAAAAGGAAGAAGT